TTTAATATATTAAAAAGAGTTTGTAAGCCAGTAAGAAAGATGAATATCTCATATAAAAATGACCAGATTACTCACAGAAAATATAAATGGTTAATAAATATGAATGCATGTTTAGCCTCAGTAGAGAATACATTCAATTTAGCGTTAGGAGACATTTTTTTGTCTGTTAGAAATTGACAGATTAAGGTTTCATAATCAGTGCTTTTGAGGATTTGGTGAGACAGGCAATACTGCTGATAGGGATGTAAATTAATCCCTTTCTCAAAAACATTTTAGGAGAATGGATCAAAAGTCTCTAAAAATATTTCTCTCTTTTGAAACAGCTTTGGGGCCCCTGACTGGGAAGTGGGTACTATTATTATACCAGCTTTACAGGATAGGACATGGAATCTCAGCGAAGTGAACTATCTCTCCTGGGTTCAAACAGCTACTAGGGGTTAGCTCTCAAACCCTCTAATTTTGCTCCAGGCCTAGAGCTCTTAACCATCAGGCTGTTACCCTTAAGAAACAATCTAGATGTCTAACAATAGAAGAATGGTTGACTTACCGACATTTACCCAGTAGGATATTATGTAGCCATTTAAAATAATGTTCTAAATAGTATTTATAATGATGATTCATTGAGTGTTTACTAGGTGCCAGGCACTAGGCTAAGGCTTTCTATACACTTCCATCTGATAATGAGAATTATTTAATAGGAAAATGTTTTGAAATGTTAGTTTTTCAAAAGCAGATTATAAAGCTAAATTTATAGTATAATTTTGATTTTGTTTAAAAAGAAAAATATAGTAACTGTGTGTATATATAAAAACTGAAAGAAAATATTCTAAAATATTACCTGTGATTACTTTTCAGTATTATAGGTGATTTTTATGTTTCATCTTTTTTGTATTAAAAGGTATCCTAGCATGAGCTTGTGTTGTTATCATCAGAAATTAATTAAAAGTATAATTAAAACAGATGGGGTTAATGGATTTTTTTTTTATTCCAGACTCTCATTGAGCAAATAGAACAACGATCTGAAAGAATACCAGAGTGAGTACCCATAAGTTCTTCAATTTCCAAGTTATTTTACCCTGAGGTGCTTTTTTTCCAAGTCTATATGTCCCTGATATTTTTCTGAGCAGTTACCTTGCATGTTGTACAAGATTTTTTTTTGTAGCAAAAAACCTATTTTGGGAAGCAAGGTCATAGACCGACTCGGCGAGTTTGCAAGGCATCTTTTTTCCTTATGAGCAGGATTTCCTTCTCATTTGGGTAGATATAAGATCGCTACTCTTGGAAGATAAGTCCTTCTTTAAAAGATAAAGGAATATTTATATATACATAAATATTTCTAGTATTTAATGTTGGCAGATGAGCAGTGACCATACAGCTTTAAAGGAGTGGCAGCTTATTTTGGGATTTAAGATCAGATTTCATTTATATATCTGAAATCAAAAGTTTATGCTTCACTCTCATTGCTTTTCATCAGATATCAACAACTGCTAAATGACATCCACCAGTGTTATCTTGATCAGCGGGAGCTTCTTTTGGGCCCTAGTATTACTTGTACTGTAACAGAGTTAACCAGCCAGAATAACAGAGATCACTGTGCCTTGGTAAGTTTCTGCTTATTTTGGCTTAGTGTTAAACCTTTCTCTGAGCTCTTTTGATACCTTGGAAGCTATACTTGAGTAAATACGTTTTCGTCCCCATATCAGCAAACTTCAGAATTTTTCTTTCAGTTATGACAAATGTGGTTTAGTAATTAGCATTCAGCTTTCGAAATAGTCTCATTTTGATCTGTTTTTTGAGGCATGAAGATTCACAAATAAAGTATTTTTTTGAAAGATGAATTTTCGAAGTTTGTGGATTTATATTGACAATTTAATCTTAGCTTTTGCTGCAGAAGTGCTTTTTTGTTAAGTGGGATTTTAATTCAGACTGTAAAAAAAATACATAGATTCTTTTTTTAAACACCCCTTTCTTTTTCAACTAGAAGAGTAACTAATGTTCATTATCAACAGCTTAGAGAGCATAAAGAAGAAAATAAAGATCACCCATATTCCCATTATGCAATAAACCATTGAAAACCATTTTCTGTTTGTCAGGAAGTTGTTTTATGAATTATATGCGCATCGTGTCTTTGTAAAGAAAATATTTATCTCATAAACGCTGGAGTCACCGTGTGTCTTTAACTATAGGTGGTGTGTGTTTTTTCCTGCAGATTCGCAGTGGCTGTGCCTTTATGGTCCATGTATGCCAGGATGAGCACCAACTTTATAATGAATTTTTCACAAAACCAACATCAAAATTAGAGTAGGTGGTACATGGAATCTAACTCTTTTTTTTTAAAGATTTAATTAAGATTTTTAAAAGATTTAATTTGCTAATGATATAATGGCTTATTATGTTATAGGAGTATTCTAAAATTAACTGTGGAGTATTTTAACTTTTGTGGGTGTGTGAATAGACTATTGTTGGATGAGTCAGTGGTTATTTATTTTGAAATAAATGTGCAGTTTAAAGGTCAACATGCTGTCATACTGTTTATAATACAATTATGGTGGCAGTAAGATAGTAAGAATCCTGTGTAGAGAACTGTCTTGAGATCTAGATCCCTTTATCTCCACTAAGTATGATAACTCCTTCTGGTTAAAAAATTCTATGATTCTAACTAATGAAAGATATTTAAAAATATAGACACTATTTAATATCCTTTTCTTTATTTTTCTCAAAGTGTTTTTCACACCCACTGTTAGTCACTGTTGGTTTTTTTCATATTGACGATTTTGACTCATTAAAGTTCCAAGATTATAACTCTTGCAATGGGGAAGAGATAAATTTATCTTATGGTTTTGATGAAATACTATATATAGAAGAGTACTATTGACAATATGAAGAATATAGACAACCTAGTTTTTTCTTTTCAAATTTTAGAAGAGTTTAAAATTGTCGAAATACTTGCTGTGTGCGCAGAATACTATGAGTTTTGTTTATCCAAATCTGTAAGCAAGAATTTTGAACCTGTCTTTCTTGGGGAGAATGTCATCATTTGATTCACAGTGATGTAGGTTAAAAAAGGAAAATTAAGTCTAATGAAATATTTTTTATTATTTTTGAAAGGACATGTACAGAATTACTGCTGACATTTGACTGCAGCCAGCTAGTTTGAGTTGAGGATTGCTGATTGATTCTGAGCTGGATTATTGATTCTAGAAAAAACAGTTTACGAAATTACTTTCAACCTTTCACTTCTCATTATGTAATGTTCCCACATACTATTTTCCAGTAGATTTTTATTATTTTTATTGACTGGAAGTAATCAAGGCTGCCTTTTAAACTATTAGAAAATCCTGAAAAGATTATTACTGACAACCACATTTTATTCTTTCATTTTAGTGAACTTTTGGAGAAACTGTGTGTGTCATTGTATGATGTCTTCAGGCCACTGATCATTCATGTTATTCACTTAGAGACGCTATCGGAACTTTGTGGGATTCTTAAAAATGAGGTGCTTGAAGATCATGTACAGAACAATGGTAAGTGATAAGCAGAAATGATAATTTAAAAGTCTTTTCAATTATATCTGTGGTCCAGTGAATTTGAAAACTATTAGCCCCTACATCCCTATATAAATTTAATAGTTTTGAAACCTGGGTTGATGCCCTGTCTCGTTTTGAATCAAGATGCACCTTATTCTGTGACTAAGTAATAATGGAAAATTTTTTTAGCAAAAAATAATGTTAGTTGCTTTTATTTCTGGCATCTGAAATCCAGAGAGAATTAACATCAGTTTTGGGTTGGGCATTTATAGTACACTGTTACCAGAATACATAAAGTAATTGACTATATTGCATAGTCTTAATTAAAAAAACAGAAATTATTTTAGTATACAACCCTAGTAATAATTCATCTTTTTTGAAATTACAAGTAAAGAAAAACAGTTCTCTGAAATAGCTCTACTTTATTCATCCAATATGTTCTTCTATATTTGATTTGATTATCATAAAAAACATGATTTTCCTGGTGATACTTAAGTACCTTTAAAAAATACTCTTCAGGTGATCATTTCACTGGCAGAAGAAATTATTATCCTTACTTTGAGTTTCCTCAAGAGACACTATAGTTTTGTTACTTTTCCAGAGTTTCTTACTCTATTGCATTTAGTTCTTTTTTTTTTATTATTTTTAAAGTTAAAAAAATTTTTTTTTGGAGGGGAGGAGGTAATTAGGTTTACTTATTTATTTTATTTTTAGAGGAGGTACTGAAGATTGAACCCAGGACCTTGTGTATGCTAAGCATGCGCTCTACCACTTGAGCTATACCCTTCCCAGCTAGCGTTTAGTTCATTCTAAGATGCACATTTTCTCACATTTAATGCTTGTGAATTAAAGATGATTTTTCAAATTAATGTAAATATTATATGAGTATGTGGTGTCTTCAACTCCCCAGCCCTGTTATTGAATTACTGGGGTGTCTTAACATTGAGGGCATCTCAGATATGAAGAAGTTCTGTGTAAACATACCTCTTTTTTTTTTAACTCATTTTTCTTCGTAAGACTGTTGTCACTTAATATCTGAGACTCAATTTATTTGTAAAATGGAGATGATAACCCAATTAATAAGTTGCTTTAGCTGTGTCTTCGGTTTTGTCCGAAGCTCTATGAGATAGCTTTTAAAAAACGTAAAGCACTTTAAAATTCATATTTTGTTACTCATATTCATAATAGAAGTTACTTCAGAGAGTCCCAGGAAGAAGATGTAAGGGCAAATTCATTTCCCAGTTTTGAATTTGAGGAAATTGAAAGACATAAGTTTTTCTAAGGTTATTGAGTCATACCAACAGGGAATATAGCTGAAGTGGTTCATACTATTCCTAGACAGTTTTGTAATCTTTTTGCTTGTTTAAAGTATTTTCTAAATCTAAAGGAGTAGATGATTGTACTTTCCTTTTTTATCAGCTGAACAACTGGGGGCATTTGCAGCTGGAGTAAAGCAGATGTTGGAAGATGTACAAGAGCGGCTTGTTTACCGAACCCACATCTACATTCAGACAGACATCACGGGCTACAAACCAGCTCCTGGAGACCTGGCGTACCCCGATAAGTTAGTAATGATGGAGGTAGGGTCTTCCTACTTGATCTTCCCCCACCCCCACACAGCTTTTGGATGTTTTATACTGGTGAAAATAGGATTTTTCTTTTTAATTCTCATTCAAGATGTAAAATCAATATAAACTTGCTATAAAGGTGTAGGAAATAAAATTTTTAAAATATTGAACAGAAATAATTTGTTAGGTTGTCTTTCCTTCAAGTTGTATTTTATAAACATTTTATTCAATTCTCTCCCCTTTTCCAGGAAATATGCATTCCCAGTTTTTAATTTGAATTAGTGCTTTCTAGGATTTCTTTTTTATATAAGTGGCATAGAGAGGACTGATAACATATGAGCTACCATGTAATGGTCTCATAACCATGTGTCATGCTCTGTCATAAAAACACTAGAAGCTGTCTCCTCAAAATTACATTGATGTCCAATTTATAGTTTGAAGAGTTAGATTATCAGTCTGCTCTTTCACTTAGATATGTGTCTTCATTTTCTTTGATTGCTGAAAAGTTTAAATAATGCCTGGGATATTAGTGCTCGAACAGAATTAGAACCTAGAAATTTAATGTTTTTAATAAATTTTATTTTTTTATTTTAATTTTTTTAATGGAGGTACTGGGTATTGAATCCAGAACCTTATGCATGCCACACAGGCGCTTTACCATTGAGCTATACCCCCGCCCCCCTAAAACCTAGAACTTTTAAAGTGAGCATTTCAAATAGGAGCAGAAGTAGAGAGAATAATGTAATGAACTCTCATGTATCGCCACCCCAGATTCAGCATGGCTAGTCTTGTTTCGCTTAGACCTCCCTTACTCCCTCTCCCTACCATTAGTTATTTTGGAGCAAATTCCAAATATCCTTTCGTCAGTAAATACTTTAGTAGGTAACTTTAAAAGGTAAAGGCATTTTTTCCCCCATGTTTCATTGAGAAATGATACACATCACTGTATAAGTTTAAGGTATACAGTATGATAACTTGACTTACATACATTGTACAGTGATTACCACACTAGGTTTAGTGAATATTCATCAGTCATATAGATATAATGAAAAAAAAAGAAAAATTTCTCCTTGTGATGAGAACTCACAGGATCTACTCTCTTAACAACTTTCCTGTATATCATACAGCAGTTTAATTATAGTCATGTTGTGAAAATGGTAGGATTTCCTTTTTTTTTAATGGCTAAATAATATTCTATTGTGTATATATCCATTCATCCATTGATGGACACTTAGGTTGTTTCCATGTCTTGGCTATTGTAAATAATGCTGCAGTGAACATGGAGGGGCAAATATCTTTTTAAGTTAGTGTTTTGTGTCCTTTGAATATATTCCCAGGAGTGAAGTTGCTGGATCATATGATAGTTCAATTTTTAATTTTTTGAGGAGCTTTCATACTGTTTTCCACAGTGTCTGCACCAGTTTACAATCTCACCAACAGTGCACAAGGGTTCCCCTTTCTCCACATCCATGGCAACATTTGTTATCTTTTGTCTTTTTGATGATGGCTATTCTAATAGGTGTAAGGTGATAACCTCATTTTGGTTTTAATTTGCATTTTCCTGATGGCTAGAGATACTGAGCATCTCTTTATGTACCTGTTGGCTATTCATGTATTGTCTTTGGAGATGTCTGTTCCGGCCCTTTGCCCAGTTTTTAATTGGATTATTTGTTTTTTTGAGCAGAACTACATACATAATGGGTTAAAATCCAAAAATATATAAAGAACTCATACAACTCATTTGCAAATACATTTTCTTATTCCATAGGTTGTCTTCTTACTTTGTTG